GGAAGACATCACACAGACCCTAAGGGCCTGGAGAAACCACTGCTTTAGACACCTTCTAGATGATGTCCCTTTCATCTCTGTTCATCCTCACTGCCCTCATTCACGTGGACACTCAGCTCTTCTTTCCTGGACTAATGCCTTACTTCCTGCCTGGTCTTTCTGTCCCATGGTCTCCCTCTCTGGCCCGCTTTAGTGTGCCAGTAGATTGAGCTTCTCCTAGCACAGCTTCCCCCCACCAAAATTAAACCTTGGCTCCTTACCCTGGCATCCAGCACCCTCAGGATCTGTCCTACTCTTCTCTTTCCCTCCATGCTTTCCCGCTTATGGACCCAGCCATCCCTCAAGTTATTTCAGACTGCATTCTGTTTCCCCTGTGTACTTTCATTCATATTATTTCTCATATTTTCAAGGAATTTTCCTTAACCTTTACCTTTTGAAATATTACACATCCTTCAAAGAATATGCAAACACCACTTTGCCTATTAACCTTGATAATTCAGCTCTTTTTTTTTTTTTTTTTTTTTTTGTCTTTTTGAGACAGGGTCTCTCTATGCATTTCAGGCTGGCCTTGAGCTCACTTTGTAGCCCAGGCTGGCCTCAAACTCACAACAGTCCTCTTCCCTCAGCCTCCTGAGTGCTGGGGTTACAGGTATGCACCACCATACCTGGTGATAATTCAACTCTTGTGCCCTCCAAATGAATCTTTCCCTCTGTCTAGTACTTACTCATATATTACTATGGTAAGTCTGTCATTCTGTGGTAGAGGTTTGCCTTTGATCAACTTTTATATTATGTATCTACAATGATAGCATGAGTTATGTGCTTCCTCTCCTCAGAAAATTTTATATCCTATTTTCCATGGATTTCAGAAGCCATAAAATAATAAGCCCAACTTCCACCACTCACCTACAAAGTACTTACGTTATGTGCCCTCCCCTGCTTCCCAGAACCAATCATTTTCCTAGCTCTGAGTTTCATCCTCTCATCTCTGCCAAGAGCCCTATCTATTGATCATCTATCTCCTCTAAATTTCTGACCTCTGTTTTGCTTCTGATTCCTAAGATTAGAGGACACTAGCTAAGAAATATTTACATAAGTAATTCTCAAGCTGGAACAGTTGTGCTGATAGATCCTCAAGAGTAGAAACCCTCATGCATAGGAAGGTAAGGGAAGTAAATCGCAAACATACGGTAATCAGGCAAGGGAGCATTTCACTCACTCACCGGGGAGACAAAGCAGACTGAGCTTTGACCACAGGAGGCCATCCTGCTCGGTGTCAGCCTGCCTCCCTTGTGATGTTTCTTACCCAGGTCAGTAAGCATCCACCTGGCTTCTGATCAAAGCAACACTGTACACCTGGGGGTAAAGAAGGAGACACAGCGGTAGCCGTGTGCACCTCTCCCTCCATGTGACATTCGTTTGCTAAGCCCATGGTCATCTTTCTGTTCCTTAAATTTGCCAACATCTCTTCTGCCTTTGACTCCTGGATGGGCCACATCTGCTGCCTGAAGCTCTCTCCCTGTCATTTCCTTCCCTCTGCCCATGCTCATAAAACTGACCCTTTCTCCTTCAGATAATGATATGGTGGTATCTGCAACATTTGTTTCTATGGTAGCCTTCATCAAATTCTGATGACTTACATCAGAAAAGTGTGGGACAAATTAATGAATGAAGCTATATAAAAACTGGCTCAAGGCTCCAGAGTCTCTAGGGAAAAAGTTTACCAGACCCTCCCTAAAGATCTTATATAACCTACACATTCCTAAACACCTTCCTTAACTATACTCCTCATCTCAGATTTAGATTTATTAGGAAGGAAAGGGAGTACAGGTACCCAGGTACACCATGTCCTGCTCACAATAGCCCAGATCCTGGCCTAGGGTGTTGGGTGCAACGCTTGTAATGAATATAGAAAGAGAAATGATCATGAGTCATTGAGAAGAGTCATCTCGGAACTTCCACACATCTTTTCCAGGCAGGTGTGAGAACCACTGCTCTGGGTGCATCACTCCTGTTCCCTATAATATGCCCCAGGTCATCAGATGGAGCTGCTTGTCATCCCTCAGAGGCCTGGGCTCTCAGGCAACCTCAGACCGTCTCTGGGCTTCACATCTGGGTGACTACTTGCCTCATGAAAGCTTTAAACTTTAACATTCATTTCCCCTACCACAGAGATGGTCCATCTTTAAACATACCAATTCATTCTAATTGAAGGTGGATATTAATACAATACCAAAGCAAAGTCATTTCTAACAAGTCACACTGTTGCTATCCTTAGCACAGAGCACCATTTGCATTACTAACTCCAAATCAGAGTCCTCAGACAAAATTTTTGGAAAAAGCCTGTTCACACACAGCCCACAGAGTCCACATCATGAATCCCCCATAACCCCTTTTCCATACCCTTTAGTCTTACTAAAAAAGAAAGGAGAGGATGTTGTAGAGGTAGAAGTGAGTGGAGAAAGTAGACATGTTTGTATTCCATTCTTGGAGCTATACATTCCTCCAGTATTTCCTGGTCTGGGAAAAATATTCCAGGCTTAAATAGGAAGCAGTTCTAGTGTTATCCCTGAGGGTATTGCCTGTATGCTCATCAAAGGTCAAAACAATTTCCTGGTCTAATTTATTTAGGACAGACATGGGTAGGATTGGTTAAATTAATCAAGAACGTTATGATTCTTAGCTGAAATAATTTCTGGAAAAGTAGACTATAAAACTATCACATATTTCTTTGCACTGTTTAAAGATTAAAACATATTGCATTTTAATCACAAATAGATTTGATATAGAATTGAAATGAAAATGTGACCACAAAAAAATTCACATAAGCCCCCAGGAAGGTCACTTTTATTGAAGAAAGAAGTTCTTTGTGGGGAATCCACAGCCTATTGAATGCCCAGAGAGATATGGAGGGAAAGACAAAGGTAGCCAAGGGGATTAAAGCCGAAGTCATGAGTTAGAATTGTGTGATTTAAGCAAATTCCATAATCTCTCTTGACTTCTGTTTCCCACTCTGAAAAATAGTAACACCTATCTTGCAAGATTAGAAAGATTAGGCGTGCTGACAGTAACAATAAGAAAACTGTGAATGGTACTTTAATGTGAAAAAGTTTTCTACCAGCACTTTCTGTCTCCCCACGAATCCATGGAGTGGTTTTTAAGTCCAACAATTATGCAGGTGCCCTTGGAATTGTATTAGGAAGCTGTTAGCATGGCTTTCTCTTGTGATACTGCTTTTTAATGTTATTTAGTCTAGTTTAAACCCTTGGAACTATGACTGTGGGTAAGCATTCAGAAACATTTCACAGTACTAACTTAACATTTAATTTTGTTATATTCTTGAATTGAATTTTCCCCACTAATTTTCACTTGTTCCTCTCAAAACTGAGATAGGACAGGAGCTTCCATGGGACAGGAGACTCTCTTTCTCAGGCTTAATCCATTGCCTCTGACCCACTCACGATGGGCATAATCCTTTTTCCCTGTCCTGCCAGCATATGCCCTCCCTGTATTCCCGACTCTGTACTGCAAGGTCCAGGGGTGTTCCTCAGTGTCTCCAAGGACAAGAATATTGAGCACTGAGCCACCTTTTACACAGGAAGAAAGCCCCTGAAACATGAGACCCAGGGACATAGGAAGAAGTTACTATTCCCCAGCCCACCCCAGCAAAGCCATAAAAGCTAGTCCCTTTCTTCCATTAATTGGCCAGTCTGACTTCCAGCAGACCTGAGTCCCCTTCAGCAGTTTGCTCCTCAAACTGAAGACCCTTTTCTATTTTCTATCCATTCTCAAAGTTTTGCCTGTAAATCTATGCTACTGCAGGAGGTTTAATTTCTATTATCACTAAATCAAGTTGCCACACATCCCTTGTATCAAAACCATTACTTAAATAACTTTTTCTTGAGCAGAGAATTTTTCCAAGATGTATATTTTACTGGTGGGAATGAATGGGTCTTCTACTCTTAAAGCATCTAATACAGTGATTTTCCTTTTTTTGGACAAACAAATCTCAAAGAGTCTACCAGAAACCTTCTAATAGAGAAGTTGTCAAAATAAAGTCCTGAGTTTTCAAAGTGTGTCGAGTGTGGAAGTCTGAAACAATTTATCTTTCATTGGCCTGTGAGGAGGAAGTTCTCCTGAGAAGCAGCATCTATGTTAAAGATCCAACAGTCTGTTTCTCCTAGGCTGAGTAGAACACTGGAAGAATTGTGGAAGAATGAAATGTTGCATATCTGAAGCCAAACCGTCTGGACTGTCTTAGGTTCTTTAGAAAAATAGCCACATATTTTTTCATGTATAACAATTAGCCACGTAGTTTTAACTTTTGTATTCTTGCATTCTTGGGACTATTGGGTAAACTCTCAGAATATATTGTTAAGCTTAGCAGACTTCTAGCTTCCACCAACTGTAAAACTAAGAATGCTATATCATCTGACACCTACAGATAAGATTTCCTCATTTTGCTATAGTTTGCTTATCAATGTTTTCACCAGTCTATTTATTGGATGTTGATTTATAACTTTATTTGGCCTGTAGCTATAAAAATTTACATACTCTCTTCCACTTCAAAGCATGCTATTCAAGGTAACTTAAAACTATATAGCCAGGTCATGATCACTCATATCTGGCTCCCAATAAACAATCTATTTCCTTTAAAACAGAGCTATTATTTTATATTGACAAGCCTTACTGCTAAAATTAAGAAGTCTAGCTAAAGTTTTGAATAAACAAAATAGTATCACCTCTAGTCCAACTTCTCCATCACACACACACACACATACACATACATGCAGCTCACACTACCGCAATCAAAGAAAAATGTAGTACACTGAAGTTAGTGTGGTAGACTCCTAATTAATGATCAAAACTCATTGAAGCTAAGGTGCTGTTCTCCCAAAACACTGCTATTTTTAAAATATTTCTCTTTGAAAACAACAGCATGATTAATCTCATCATTCCTACCTAAATTACTTAAGTAGAAATGACAATGCACTATGAGCAATTATTAAAAACACTTTATTATGTATAATTTGTACATGCTTCAATTCGTGTTGTTTAGGATGATTTCTTTTCCAGGCTGTGATGTCATCTACCAAGTTTAACTAGATCTAATTTTCACTCTGCCATGCCACATACAAAAATACAATTTTCAAAGCAAAGTTCCTCTTCTTTATACAAAGGTACAGAAGAGTTCATCAGACAAATAAAACAAGAAAAGAATACTTTGCACACACATCAACACCATATATGGCATTACCCTTCACACGGTAACATCAAATGTGTTCTTTTATTTTTGAAACAGCAGGGAAAGAGCCCTCTCCACCCTCAGAGGAAAATGCAAACTTTATTTGTTGCTAAAGCCAAGCTCTGTGATGAAGGTGTGACCCTCTCAGGTAAGTAGGGGAGACAGGGAATGTGCAGGAGGCTGGGTGCCCCTTCATAAGCACTTCAGAAGGAAGGAATTGCAGGAGGTTCCTCGGGGACAGTCACACAGCTTCCCGATCCTGGCTCCTTTCCGCACTGCGCATTGTTCTCCAGCATCGCACTGCAAACAATACAACGTGTGGTCACTGGAGCCCCAGGGGCAAGTGCGTGAGGGACTCCTGTCTCCCTGCCAACCACCCTCTGCCTCTCAAGGGGAACAATTAGACCCCACACCGTCAGCAGAGGTCTCAGTATAGCCGGGTTTGAAACACAGAAAGGCCTGCGTTCTCGTTTCTGTGAGAGAATGTTTTTACACAGAAATGTAAACAGTTGGTCTCTCTCTACAGTACTTTCTTCCACCTGTCTGAGGGATCATATTTCCTGTCTTCTCTTCTTGTTTATCCAAAGGGAAAATTTTCAAGTAGACCCTGAAATAAACCATATACCTATATCTTCTCACAGTCTTTGTTCCTTGCTTCCCCACTTCCTCATCTCATCTCAAGAAGGTAGAAGTGTGTGTGTGTGTGTGTGTGTGTGTGTGTGTGTGTGTGTGTGTGAGGTGCCCTTTATCCAGAACTATCCAAGAAAAGTGACCCAGCCATGAATTTTTGACCCCAGAACTTAGATTTTTTTTTTAAACACTGACAGTGCTCTGGAAAGAATAATGGGAGGAAGAACTGAGTAGATTCAAGGGCTCTTCCAACTCAGAGAATCCCACAAAGTGTACCTTTGGGAAATATTCTTTCCCACCCAGATTATAGAACTAGTTCCGGCACAGCCCTTCAGTCCTCCAAGGTAACCTGTCCTCCTTTGTCCCGAGAGACCAAAGGACAAGAGCTGGCCCTGAAAGCAAAGGGGACAAATAAAACTGTGCAAGCCTATGACCTCAGTTACTCGGCCACATCCTGGGTAAAGGTCATTGTCCGATTCAAGGAGTGCATTTTCTCTTAACATAGGAGAGGAGTGACGCCACAGCCTTACCATGGGGACTTGGCCGTACTTCTTCTCATAGATTGGAATACGTTTACTCTTGAGCTTCTTCAAGACTTCCTGCAGCGCTTCAATCTGCAATACACCACCCCAGAGGCCGAAGTTGCCGCCTAGGCTGCGAGCCCAGCCCAGGTGCTCACTTCCAGCCCTAGTTAGGAGCCCGGGACCCACACACTCGGCTGTGGGACTCGCGGCAAAAGGACTGGGTAGGAGCAGTTTAGCGGGCGCTGTCCCGGGTCCTGACCTCGGGTCCCGGGGCCGCCGAGCCGGGCGTTGATCTGAACAGCTCGACAGACAGACCGGAGCCCGTGGGCTCCAGTCGCTCTTCCGATGGCAGAAGGTGCGCGGGCTTTGCGCCCAGCTCCCCGTGCTCCGACCCTGGGAGTGGGGCTGGGAGGAAGGGCGCGTGCAAAGAAAGGAACCGCGTGGCAACCCGAGGGGCTCTGGGGTGAGGGCAATACCAACCAGCTCCTTCTCGTGGGAGGCGTCCTCCACGGCAGAGTAGATGTCCAGGGCTCGGGGCTGGAGCTCGGCGTCCTCCTGTGCACGGACGCCCAGCAGAGGTAGCATCAGGAGCAGGGCGGCGCCCAGAAGGGGCAGCAGCCGAAGACGGGCGCTCTCCATGGTTCTGAAATCCGTCGCTGCTGGAGCGCCCCGCTCTCCCGCCTTTTATAGCGAGCCCGGGCTCTCGGTGCGGGGAAGAGGGAGGGGGCGAGAAAGGAAGGGGTGTGGAGGAGGGCCCGGGTCAGCCGTCTGTAGGCAGCGCTCCGCCACCGCTTGACGTCAATGCCCGCCGGGCTCCAGGCGCCCGGAACGAGGCTCTGCGCACAGATGGGCAAGAGCACCGAGACGACCCCGCGCCCCCGATGCTGTCAGCCCGCGGCCATGGCCTCCCCTCAAGGGGCCTGAGCTGAAGCTGTGGGGCGAGGGGTGAGGCCTGGGAAGCGGAAGGGACCTAGGAAATGGAAAATGCCTTCGGGGCAATGCACAGGCAGCACAGTCTCTTCTCCCTTTGCCTGGCAGCGCAGCCCTATCCGCCTCACCACCCTCACCCGGCCCGAAGAGCCGGCGGAGGAAAGGAGTTCCGCCTCCAGGTAGAGTACACTGCACTAGGACCTCTGGGGCACAGGAGGACAAAATAACACAGGACGGAAAGGGAAATCGTCCCCTCCCCACAATGGACTCATTAGTGGAATCTGTGTGGCAATAAAGAAAACAGAGAGAAGGGGGAAACAAAACCAAAAACAGACTAAGCCTGATCCGGTGCAGAGAACCTGGCTCTTGCTCCCGGCCTGGCTCCACCACTTACAGGCTCCGTGACTTAGAACAGAGTAAAGAACCTCTTGGAGACTTTGCTTTTTAATTTTCAAAACTATGAGTTACTAGAGGCACCCTACAAGTTATTATCAGGAGAGTGAAGTGAGAGGTTGGGTATGTAAAACCCATGGCCCCTAACACAATATACACGAATTCTCCTGGTCCTTCCCTCTTTGAACTTTGAGGCTGCCCAGGTCCTATGAACAGTACCTCAGGGCAAATTTAACCATCCACAGATCCCCTTTACTCACCACTCTGGTACTTAACAAGCCTGCTCAGAAAAGAAAATAAAGGGGTAAAAAAAAAAAAATGCAATTCCCTGACCATGAAAATGTCTCAAGAGGTCAGAAGCCAGTGGTGATCCAGCACCTTAGAGACTGGTGAAGACACTGTGTTTTTATTTTTAAGTTATTTATATGCTTATTTATTTATTGGTTTGTTTTTTTTCTTTTGAGACAAGTTCTCATTATGTAGTTCAAACTGGTTGGTCTTGAACTCACCATATAGCCCAGGTTGCCAATCCTCCTGCCTCAGCCTTCCAAGTACTGGGACTACAGTCATGCACCACCACACCTGGCTGACATTGTGTTTTTAGAAATATTCCGGTCTTACAGTCTGCATGTAAATGCAGCTTCCTGTAGAGGCAATGTCCTTGCCCTTAGACCAAAGGTCCACCAAGCCTGCTTGACCATGTGACTTCTTCCTTCCTTACAGCCACTTTCCATTAACTGCTCCTGAATTCACCCATTCTTTAGCCTACCCAACCCCACACACCAGTCCTCATCTACTGCCTCAGCCTATTTGATTTCTACCTCTTATCTCCACCCCATCTTCTCTGCCAGCAGGAATGTTTTCCCTGTAAAATTTATTAATGGTCTCTCATCTTACTACATAGTGAATCTAAATTTCTTATACTGCTTTATAAAGTATTACATGAACTGTCCCCTGTCCCCTTTCATATTCTACTACTCTGCCCCAGACCTTTATTTGGTCCACTAGCAGGCTGATCTCATTCTTTTTTTTTTTTTAAATCCCAGTACTGGGGATTGAACCCAGGGTCTTTGCACTGAGCTATATTGCTAGCCCATTTTTATTTTTTTTTATTTGCTAAGTTACTAAATTGCTCAGAATGAGCTTAAACTAGGGGTCTTCCTGCCTCAGCTTCCCAGAGTGCTAGGATTACAGGCACGCACCACCATACCTGATGCCTTTGCATGTACCTTACATGTAAATGTCTCCCTACATCTATAAATGATTTGCTGCTTATTCTAATTTAAATCTCAGTTTAAGCTGGGAATATAGCTCAGTGATACAAGCACCTGCCTGGCAAGCGCAAAGTCCTGAGTTCAATTCCTAGTACCCAAAATAAGCAAACAAACAAACAAAAAATCTCAGTTTAAATGTCCATGACTACTCAACCTAAAGTATCCACCAATTTATTCCCTCACAAATTTATTGCTTAGTGGATAATACGGGTCACTGGGGTGCCTAACTACTTCAATTATCAAATATTCAGTTGTTCTCAGATGCACATTGGGAAGCAATTCAAAAAGTAACATATCTTCTGATAAATGCCACACTACTAATAACATCAAAATATTTTGCTTTGGAGTAAATCCAAGTGGCAAACATATCTAACACTATCCAAGCTCCACCTTTCATATATACCTTTGGATTCTGCGCAACAAAATTTCCATGACAGCACATTTTACCATTTAAACCTTAGGTCAATTGTCTACAACCTTTTTGGCAAAGGGACACATTTCATGGAAGATGATTTTCCAGGAATATGGTGAGGAGAAGTGGGGTAGTGTTCAGATTAGATTCTTGTAAAAAGAATACAGCCCAGACCCCTCGCAGGTGCAGTTCACAGTCAGGTTTGAGCTCCTATGAGAGTCTGATGTCACTGCTGATCTGATAAGAAGTGGAGCTCAGGTGGTGATGAGGAGCACTATTTAAAAAAAAAAAAAAATGAAGCTTCATTCACCTACTGCTCACCTCCGGCTGCACAGCCCGGTTCCTAACAGGCCACTGACTAGTATTGGCCTACAGCCCAGGAACTGCCTTACATGGACACCTGTAAAACTGTCTCCGGTGATCTTAAAGTTATTCTGCCCTTCAAGAAAAAAGTAACTCCAAATAAGATTTTAGTCCTTCCTTTTATAAGGATGTGGATGCTTTCAATGAAATTCTTCCTTTCAAATTTTATTCCCACACAAGTCATAGCTTTCCTTTTGTGCCAATGGGAAAATAACTCCAAAGTTCAAATCCTGCCAATGTTGGGTTAGTGCTATCACCTTCATGTGGGAAGGATACTACACTTAGCTCGGAAAAGGACTCGAACAACCTTGTGAGTCAAGAGTGTCTTGATTATTTATAGATCACAGTGATTGTTTTCATCTTGAGCAGAATGACTTTCTAAACTACCTTGAGGGTCATGGTACAGCAAAGAGTAGGCCACTTTCCTCCCAGAAAGAATAAAAGTATGAGAAGTTCTGTCATCTGTGCCATGTCTATCAGGAGAATTTATATGTACTTGCTACTTTGTAAAGACTCCATGGGGGGAAAAGCCCACTTCTGGTGCCTCTAAACTATAGGTAGAAGTCATAATTGGATTTAGTCCCTACTTTTCATCCCAGACTGGAAAAAGGAAAGCAAGTCACCTCTTACAAGAGAAGCAATGCCCAGCATGCCTATCAAGATTTACTGCGGCAGCTCTCCTAACCACCCTCCCAGTACAGAGCAGGCCTCCACTTCTACTCTTTGAAATAGCTCAAGTAGAAAAATCTCATCAGCAGAGACCAAAGAAACTAATGCCAGTGAGATCTATTTGTAACATCCTGCTATCTGAAAAGAAAATTTTAAAAGGTTGGAGAAACTTCTTACTCATTGACTTTTAAAAGCCATTCATTAATTTGTGAGTTGGCAAAAAAGCAGACTACTTTGGTTTGGGTCCAAAAGTCCCTTAATATATAGGGACTAGTCAGTATTATTAAATGATAACTCTAAAGCGTTAAACTGTTAAATAATGAAAAGATCTTGGGAGAATGAGACACCAGTACTATTTTTGTTCAGTTCTCTTATTTCTTTTCCCATATCTCCTTCAGTTTTGAGTAATCTTTCCCTATAGATAGGATAATCCTGGCCTTTTTAGTTCATCATATTTCTCAAATGTCAGACTACTCTGTTATCCATTAGCCCTCTCTTCATCCAACCCTTCCATCCAGGTTTTGTCCAACAGTAAAACTTTCTCAGTTTCACTGACTTCTTAAATATTTCCAGGGTTTTGTTATGTTTTGTTTTGTCTTTTTGAGACAGGGTCTCGCTATGCAGTTCAGGCTGGCCTTGAGCTCACTTTGTAGCCCAGGCTGGTCTCGAACTCACAACGATCCTCCTGCCTCAGCCTCCCGAGTGCTGGGATTACAGGCGTGCGCCACCACGTCCAGCTAATATTTCTATTTAAGAACTGTTTTTCTTCCATTGTGTTAGCTGAACTTTTCTCCAAGTTATATACCACATTGTTTTCTTTGGCACGCATTTGGGAGCTCTTAGGTGATAGGTTCCATTTCTACATTTCCTGCTTTCCACTCTCCCTGCTTTCAGAAGAAAGATATATTTCCCTTGACGTTCATCTTCTGTCTATTGACCTTCAGTACTGACAGTCTTTCCAAAGTACCTTCCCTTTGCTGTTCTAACTAAATATCTTTATCACTCTCTGGGAAAATAATCTGCAGGTAGAGGGGGCTTGGAGTTGGTACTAAATCGAGGGGTGTTGGAGATGTAGTAGGAGAGAACAGGTGTTTTGCACACAACCTGTTGAAGAAGCAAGGGAGGGAAAATGAGAGAAAGCTTCTCATTCGTTTTTTTAAGCTTTTGATTAAAAGGCTTTCTATTTTGAGGCTCACTCTGTGGAAATCTGGATGCCAGTATATTCAAGCCCTGCTAAGTATCATGGGGACCAAGGCAATAATCCAGACCAGCTTCTGTCCTTGAGGATCTTTGGTTCTGGCATCCCTCACAAATTCCTATTACAACAACAACTCAGTGAGGAAAAATCCTAATAAAGAAGGGAAGCCCAGAGACATGAAAGCCTAACTCCCTCCATTAAGGAAAATTTCAAAAAAAAATAGCTCTGAATGAGTTTATTGGCCTTAGGCAGTGGGTAGGATTTCAGCAATGACAAACAGCCCCCTCTGGAACCCTGACAGCAAGTAGGCAGCAAAATGAGATCACCAAGGAAGGACATCTGGGGGACCAGCGAGTGCCCTCACTCTGCTACAAGAGAGTAAGGTACATGAAATGTGACAGATGCAGAAGTATAATGGGAAAGAAGACTGGAAAAGAACAGTGAAACAAAAACAAAGCCAGAGTGGCAACAGAGAATTCTAAATGTACATCCAATGAACAGAGACAGGAATACAATCTGTCTTTCTGTGCGTGTGTGTGTGTGTGTGTGTGTGTGTGTGTGTGTGATCAAAAACTATAGTGCAGGGGCTGGGGATTTAGCTCAGCGGCAAAGCGCCTGCCTGGCAAGCGCAAGGTCGTGAGTTCGGTTCCTGGTACCGGAAGAAAAGACAAAAAAAAAAAAAAAAACTATAGTGCATGTTAAATTTGAAATTTTATTACAGTAAAAAACACTACTCCCCTCAAAACACTTTTGTCAGCGACTTGGTTTCGCTCCTAATTTCCTAAAACAAGTTACAGTAAAGGCTTAAATAAAAAGAGACAAGTGGTATGATTTTGAGGGAGTCCAGTAGGGTCAAAACTCTCTGGAAGTAGGACACGAGCTTCTCCAGACAGCTCATATTTATTTTCCTTTTCAAACAAAGGAAGGGGATACTAAGGCAAGGCAGGAACTGAGTGGGACCTTGGGAATCAGTTCAAAGACTTCTACAAGCAGTAAATTTTGCCACTTAAGAGAACCGTTTCATCTCTAAGGTTGGCAGCTTTTTTGTTCTGCGATAGGGAGCATCAGCAGCCTGCATCCTCAGCTGCCCCAGCTGTAGTGTTATCGTAACTTCAGAGCACTATGAATATGAGCTTTTCTAGCACAGCCCAAGGTCCCTTCATGGTCAGCAATTTAACCCTTACATAGCCTGACCTCTGACACACTTACCTGCACTTCAAACACACTTATCCCATTATCCTTGTCATTCTGAAACAGTCCTGGAAGTCCTCTTTGCATGTCTCTAGTTGCACTGTTGCGGCTGCCCCAATGTCCTGAATCACTTCACAGCATTTACCTTTCATGGTCCTTTTGGCTTTGGAGAAGAGCCAGGAGTCACACAGTGCCAGATGCCATGAATAATGTGGGCCAGGACACACTGTAATGTTTTAGCATTGCATGGCACTTGGCAACAGCAGTCCCTGAATGGTTTAAAACTTTTTATTAAAAAA